CAAGATAAAGATTTCAATAAAAATATCTGAAAGCAATACGTAACAGAGTTCAGCTAAATTACAGATATAAATCTAACCTTATTTCTAACCACTAAACGTAATGCTGGAGTTTTTAACTTAACAGATACTTGGTTTGGTTTATTAGATTACGGCAAAGCACTCGAGGGCTACCTGCCTTTAAGGGAGGGATGACTTCGTAGAAAATTAAGATACTTTTAAACTAATATCGAACAATTAACGCTTTGTAAGTAAAGGCATTTTATAGTCAACTATTTTTCAGTTCTATTTTAAGTCGCTTTGAAAAACAGCACTATTTTGACTGGTAATCATTTTGTAGAGATTTTCATTCTGATATACAATACAATCACGCAAAACTGAAGCGGGTTTCAGAAATCCCTTTTGGAAAGAAAATCGGAATCGATGTTTCCTTATAGTACTTTTTCTTACCAGGTTCATACACTGTTCACAATATTTATAATCTTCTGACCTTTTCATCATGTAATTTAGAAACATCCGACTTAGAGTAACAACATACTAGGGAAAGGTGGATGAAGAAAAGAAAAAAAAAAGCGTACGAGAATACTGTTCAAAACAGCAATTATAAGACTTCTCCGCAAAATTAGAATGTAGTAATATAAGCACATGTGTTTATACGCGCTTTTTAATTTATGATCTTTAATTCTAAATGGTGTACATTGCATAATTTTACTTCCCGATTTTCAAAGATAAAACTAGGATGTGGAATAAAAATATACCATCCCGATTTTCAAAGATAAAACTAATAATATAAGGATGTGGAATTAAAATGTACTAAATACTCAATATACAGGATTAAAAACCAGGTTTTAACACTTAGTAATTAAGTTGATGAAACAAAACGCAAATTCTGTCGAAGAAGAGGTATTTCTACACGAAACTACCCTCTCTGCCTTTAAGTTTCATAAACGTACCATCTGTAAAACAAGTGGCAATGACAGATTTCTTGAATAAAAAACTTATAAAACGTATAAGAATAATTGTATGTGAATTTCTAGAAGCTAAAACGAAAAAAAAGGGGAGGAAAAGATTAATCTTCAGTCTAGCAAACCGCAAATTAAAGTAATTGCTCGTTGAATATTAGCTTCGCCTTCGTATCTTAAAATTGGACAAATGCGAGAAATATTTGAAGAAGAATCTCTTCAGCAAATGGTTTTAAAAGAATACTGCAAAATCTGTTTCAAAATTTAATCAGCTTTGGTTTTATGATATACGGCAAAGCATCGAGGGCTATCTAACCGGAGGGATGCCTTCGTGGAAGACTTTCTAAGGGAAACTAGCTCCTACACACGTTGCAAATGAAGAAAACTACGACCCCCCTCCATGCAGCCAACCCGTTCGCGGGATTGGAACCTTGGGACGAACTACCAGTATTCAGCGACTTTTATCGCTCGGCCGCTTCAGAATTACAGATTGAACACTGCTAGTGTTCTGCAACTTTACTACCGGGCAGTCACAAATACGTTGACAAGTTCAGCATTAGGCAGTTCACAATCAAAAAAACTTTCTTTTAACCATCCATCGTTTCAGGCTATGGTTTGCTTTGATTACAAAGAATTTCTGGGCCATCTTCCTAGAGGGATGGATGATTGCGTTCTGGACTTTCTAAGAAAACAATTAACGCATGCCCGTTACACATGTAGGAAAATACAAAAACGTTTATGCAGCCATCACATTTGTCTGGAATTAAATTATCTGCGTTAACTTAACCGCAGGGCTGCTGGTGCCCTTTTCCCAACGAGACGGGAAAATAAAAGGACAAGGAGTTGAAAGCCAGTCAGTAGGTCCGTTTGTTTCATAGTGTTCAATGAAATATTTTTAGCTTAATTTTATACAATTGAGCCAGAAAAGTTGAAATATAAAATTTCATCGGGAATAAATTTTATTTTTTTATGGCAAAATTACTGTTAATATCTGAAGTTATAAAATTATTATTCAGTTAATAAATTTTGAAGATAGAAAAGAACCCGGTATAATTATATTTTACACACTTTGATATTTGGGACAGGAATTCTATTAAGGGAATTTTATTACAAGTTTAAAAATAAATATATTTTATAACCTTACAACACTTTTAGGGCGCTTTAATTTTAGAAATCAGAGTCGCTTTAATTTACTTCCACTCTGAAATTCAGATTCATCAGTGGCGAAGACGATGCATCAGATTTCCCGATGGCTAAAAAGAATTGATAATTATGTTTATCGTGGTTGCCCCCCCCACACTATCTCAGGCATAAAATATGACCATCCGAAAGATCTCCATGAAAGCCTTCCGTGTATAACCCTCTCGTGCTTTGCCATATACCCAATACAGGCAAGCTCATGTTTGCAGTTATCCATATATTTCAATTTCATTTGCAACTTAGGTACTATTCTGTTATCGGGACCGGATTCAGAAATGTGAGCATGTATGTATGTGCATATATGTACACACACATATATACATACATTTTGAATCTGGTCCTGATACCAGAAGAATACCGTAACTTATTCTATCAGTTTTGAAATAGAATAGACATTTCGTTTACTAAAGCCTGATAGATTCTTGATGGGAAACGACACGAACTCTCCTTTAGAAAGGAAGTTTTCGTGGGATTCAAATGTAAATGAAGTGTATTTACGTTACGCATGAGGCAACTCACTAAAAATTACACATTCAGTTTCTTTTATCTCCGAACATAATCTTGAATAAAAGTGAAGTCCTTATTAGGTCAGCAACTGGTTGACAAGAATAAACTAGTAATTAATAAAGAAATAACAAGCGTAGAAAATAATGAATTGAGGCGTAAGTGAAATTATGAACATTCGTACGAATGAAGATATTTAGATCTGTTAGCCTTGTAGGTGAGACAGAAGACAAACGTGACAAATACAGCTGCGACAGTAATGACTGTCACTCGACCTAAATTGAAATCACAAACTTGACTCTGCGTGAACGGAATTTAAATTCTGTTACAGATTGAGAAAAACCCAATGATCCTCTACTTGGCCAACGCCTTAAAATTCGCATTTTAAACACATGCGAGTTTTAGTACAGGTAGTTAATTTGCAAGTTAATTTTTTTAATAAGAATTCTGCATGCTGTTGGGAGATGCAGGCAAAACCTAAGACCACTTTAGTGTTGGCTTGGTCACCAAAAGAAAGGGGAAGACCAAAATATGCTTGGCGAATCTTGCCGATTATTCGGAGTGTCTCATCTTCACATTCATGTGTAACCATAAAGAATTCGATCGTTATATTTAATCAGAAAGTTCACAAATTAAGTTTCGAAATTTGGATCATAAAAACATTAACCCAATTATGTTCTAAATTCTATTTAAGGTACATGTTTCTCAGATATATCTTTATCTTATACCGTCAAACATGCCGCTACTTAAAACTGTCTCATTTTCAAATTCGGATGAAGTGCCGAAAAGTACATAAAAGTTCTTCGCCCCCACCCGGCGGTTCCTACATAACTACGAGTTATTGGTCTTAGATAACCAACAATCATGAGGATAGAAATTTCGTAAAAATTAGGTCAAGTATTAACTCCAAAGAAGAGTTCTAATGTGACACATTACATAATTGTTTGGTAATATCAAAACTATTCAAAGTTACAGAACAACTGAATCACATGATACCCAATCATCAATTCCAAGTTTAAAATTAGAAAATGAAAGGGATTAATGTATTCTTTCTTTTAGTAATAGTAAATAGAATAATGTATACTGTTCTCTTATCGGATTCAGAAATGCATGTGTATGCATATATGTGTATATATATATACACACACACACACACACATACATTTGTACGTACATTATATACATCATTTCTTTATACGGTGCTGGTAACAAGAGTACCGAAGAATGTTGCATAAAGTAATGCTGACGTCTTTTACAAGTTTCTTTAATACATTAAAGCGGTACTTAAGAACATAGAGTAACTACAGACTTGCAACCAGAAATTGGATAATTTTTGAAAATATTTTTAATAAAGCAGCATGTCGAGCTGATGTCTAAATATTCTAGATATTAAAGCATCTTTGAAACTAAACTTCCAGTGAAAAATTTCACAATTTGACAAAACACAACATTACATTGGATAGTTTGAGATTTTGTAGTAGTGAATGAAATTTATAGTTAATGAAATAACTACATTTAATACATCTCAATAGTTTTTAATAGTTTTGAAAATTTTTTAATACAACAGCCGGCAATTACTAGCTGATGGTCTAAATATTTTAAAGTATCTTTGAAACTTAACTTCATAGGAAAAATTCCACAACTTTTAACAAAATTTAACACAAAATAATGCTTCAAAATCGAACCAAACGTTCGAAAGGAAAGTAAATAAACCACTAGACTCGTTTTCACTTTCAGTATAAAGCAGTGGTCTTCAAAGTATGCTCCTCGGGGACACATAGTTCCACGAGTCAAATCCTGCGAGTCGAAATAAAACTTTCAAAAGAAAATAAATTCACTTCTTGACTAGAGTTTCTTCATTAAGAAATATAAATATACATTTTGTTACCTTTAAAATGCAACTACACCCCAAACGCTAAATATATTGTAAGGATAAATGACACCTGGACACGTGTTAATGCTATTAAGAGTAAATTAAATTAATTTTAATAATTGTGATAATTAAAATATTTTAATTATCTTTACATAAAATACATATAACATTAACTTACGATAAATTTATTTTAAGATACATTTTTCAAAGGATGGGAAAAAGAAAAAAGAAAAAAAAAACTAATATTTCTATGCTCCACGAGTCGACAGTTTGAAGACCACTGGTATAAAGGAAAAACGCAACACTTTTTAAGAGTTTGTTCGTTCTTTTTACATATTCGAGTATTTGTTTACATAATGCTCGCTATGTTAATAATATACTACCAGAACTTTCTTCCTAATTAATAATTTGGAAATGATTTACAGCTATTTATACATAAGAAATAAAAAGTTATTTTTACTTACCGATAGCTAGAAGTGTGCACCAGAAATTCTTATATGAGAACTGAAGAAGTTTCATGATGATTTTTCAAAATACAGAGCTATATGGCATGAAATTAAGATGACCAAATAAAAATATGACTTCTAGAAGCGAAGCAGCAGTAGCCAGGTAACAAATGTAGACTTAACTTCACATGGCCCGTCGTGAACACCAATTCACGTGAGACACACAATTTTTGAACACATAAAAACCAAATATCCTTCTTGTGGACTTTCAAGTCCACGTATAACAGTAATCCTTCCGCATGCTGACGATAGTAAAAAATACTGCGACATTTATAACAACAGAACTCAAGTCATCAGAACCTTCAATTTGAAGCCGTAAGCAAATGAGGTAAACTGTGTCTCTTTTTCGGTAGCAGCCCAAAGATCTCGTGCTCGTTACCACCTCGTTTTGATTCTAGCACCGAAAGGAGCGGCAACTTCAGTTTCAGTTCACTTAACGGGGCCATGAGTACGTTGTCTGCCAGCAGGTGGCGCTGCATGAGCGCACAAAATCTACAAGGGGTAAAGATGATGGAGTATTAAATGCATCTTTGAAGTGACCGGTATTGAAAATTACTTATCTACTAATAATGATATTTTCCCAGTTGATAAATTATTTGAAATTGATTTCCCGTGCAAAATTTAGTTAGGATGAAGAAACATAAATAAAACATGTTTTGAAAAAAGTTATTTGAACAGTAAATTATAAAAGTACTGAGAAACTCTAGTTTATATTTAATGTTAAAGGAAAAGAGGAAATTAAGTTTTGAAAAGGAAATAAAACTCTATATCCTGGTATTTCATAATACGCTTTGTGAGTAATTAAAAAGAATGCTTTTTAAAAGTGAAAAGTTAGATCTGAAATAACGTTATGTTAGACATTTAAAAAAAAAGAAAACAAATCTAAGGAGGAAGTTTATAAAAATGAAATAAATAGATGAATCTTTTCTGTTTCTTTGAATTCCACATATATGGGAAATTAATTTTTTTCTAAAAACATGCTTCAAATGTTTGAAGAATTGAAATAAATTTCTTTATAACTATTAGAGTCGAATGCCCACCAAATTCTTCTTTTCCAAGTATATTTATTTTTCTTTTTAAAATGATTGTATTTTTATTCTAGATATTGAATAATATTTTAAAGTTAAAAAAACTTAAAAAGTTCTTATAAAAGTTTGAAATTAAATATCTCTATCAATAATTGAAATTAAATATCAAGTCAAAAACTTGTTGTTTCCTAATTCCACTAGAAAAATGTAATTGCTTTTGAAAATTTCTGAGCCATTCTCATTTCTTTTTCTTACAAGTTCTAATATCTAAATTACTAATTTGTTCTGTTATAGGTATTTATTTCAGCATTTATTACCTTATTTATTAGCAGGCTTTTTGAAATTCGAGTGATATTTTTGTAATAACATAAAATTTAAATTTCAAATTCAGATTTAGAACCAAATAAAGAAATAATTCAAATGATCATAAAATAATTAACTTAAGCGTAAAAACAACGGTTCACAACCAAAATAGCAAATGTCTTTTGATAGCATATGTTGTACAAATATACCTGAATGTCATTAAAGCTAACATTTTTATAATTTGGGGTTGATTACTAACTAAATCTTGAAACGAATAATATAAAAATATTAGCTGTACACTTCTGCTCCTTTAAGGAGTTTAATTTCTTATTTAATGTCGTTGAAACACATAGTTTTTTTTCCTAAAATTAGCTTCAATTTTTGCCTAGTTTAACATTTATTATTGGTTATAGCATATATTTTTTCATACATTCCCAACTTTTAAATTCTTCCCCAAATAAAACCTAGCCATATATTGCTCTGAATTATTTCGTTATTGAAAGATAAATATTATGCTTTACCTAAGGACCATTGGTATTAACCCTTTATTCACATTAAAAGTCGAAAAATAAAATTGTATCTTCTCTATATGTGCCTCTTTTTAAAACAAAAACCTAAATCTGTATTTTGGATGTTTCGTGATAATTAGTCCAAAGGAGCTTTGTCCCTGAGAGACTATTGTTTTCGTTTTGCGATTTCGCGTCGAATCAAATGTTTATAAAACGAGCCTTTGGACCTAATTTAAAATCTGAAACCCTTCAGATTTATTTTTTAATATTGAATTTATCAATGCATTCTTTTATTGCGTTATTTTTTTATAAATAGTATATTATTTATGACCATTCTAGACTTGAAAAAATGTAGTTTATTAATGATATTATCCCCTTAATATTATTGCAAATTTTATATATTTTTATAAAATATAAATTACTGCATACACGCTTTTCGCACGTCTCGTATTTCATGAATTCAGTTTATTTTTGTAAGCCATATAAAGCTTCTGTAGCACTAATTAATTAAAATTTTAATTTTCAGTTAAAGCAAATGAACCAGTGCAGAAGGAGGGAATTTTCACAGTTTTCCTGAAGTAGAATATCTGTATTATTTTTTATTTTTTTTTTCGTTATTTTACTAATATGTTTTCATTTATTCTTTCACTAGTCAAATCCATCGGAAACCCTAGGTTTTTGCTTTCAGCAAATTTAACCTATCACATAAATCGTGTAATTACAATAAGACCCCCTAACGGTACTTCGATAGGATTGACGTCAGAAACTTTCACCCAATCAGATCTAGATATTGCGGGTTTCGATGCCCAAGGCAGCGAGTTAACGGGTTTCGCTAGCCAGGTGAGTTTTTTGTTTTCTGTTCTTGTTTTTACTTTCCCACTCGATTCTATGAAACGTCAAAGTAACAACAAACGCGCTTCTTACCGGCATTGAAGAAAGTAAAACCAGATGTTGGTGCTCTGTGTTTTGCAAAAAGTTGATCAGTTTTTCTCTAGCTACTCGCAGTAGGAAATGTGGCTCGCATAAAAAGAGAAAGAGCAACTGAATATAAATGATCTCAGCTTGACGAATAAACGTAATTAATGTCCTTGTAGATACATTAGGTATTTTTTTTCGGAAGCAGGCAAGATGAAAAATAAGCAATCGCCTTCGCCTGGAATCGAACTACGGATCTCTGGAATACCGGCCCAGCGTGCAGAACCACTGCACCGCGAAGGCATGCTAGGCATGCAGGGGAGAAATACCTTATATACTCCCCCATTTAACGCGTTGTTCGCGGCGTCGAATTTGCTGTCCTTTCCGTTCAGCCGGCAGCGAGCTAAGCCGTATTTTTAACTAAATTTGAACACATTTCATTGAGACTATATTTATTTTTTTAACTTATATACAGTATATATATTTATTTTTATATATATACTGTCGGTCCCGAGGACCGACGCCAGCCAAACGAAAAATTCCAGTGTCGGTCCCCAGGGACCAACGCCGGCCACACGGAAAGTTCACTGCCGGTCTCCAGGGCCCGGCGCCGCGCTCAACGTGTTAAAGGGCAACTGGGATTTTTAGGGGACCACAATCGCCAAACCCTGGGTGAGGAGAATCATCTCTACAGTAGCGCACACTTTTAGTTCGTGCGCTACTGTAGAGACATTAGTTTTTTTTTTTTTTTTTTTTTTTTTTTAAAGCAGGGAAGATGAAAAATGAGCAACATCTTCGCCGGGAATCGAACCACGAACCTCTGGAATAGCGGCCAAGCGTGAAGAACCACTACACCCCGAAGCACGTTAGGGAGGCGGGACAAATACATTATATCCTTTATACATCCCCCGCAAAGCATAAAGTTTTCAGCCGAATGATGAAAATAATAAAGGATTTTAACCGATTTTCATCCCCGATGTTCTTGTTTTTCATCTTCAAGCATTTCATTAATCTAATTCATTTGCATTTTTTCAATGACATTTTTGAATTTTCTAACCAGATATTTTCTTAAAGGAGGATAAAAATTATAAAAGAGCGTATATATTATTTGAACACTTTATATCATCTGGTTTATATCACTGTGAAATTTTGAAAATATAACACTGATTTTTGTTGTTTGACTTCTGAATTAGTATCATCTGGATTCTTAAAACGTTAATCAAGGTGTTAATTAACGTACTTAACATCTACATGAACTTCTTCTCGTTATAAAACGGAAAAAAAATCTGGAAGTTTTCAGATTTTAAAGGTCGCCTAAAAGGGTTTGTTAAGGTTTATACGCTCTCGCTGAGATCGCTGTCTACCAATCTGCTGTTAAACTCTTTCCTACTAACCCTGCTGTTTTTTCTCTTCTTCGCTTTAATATTATGCATCATTTTCTTCGCCATATGCAGTTCAACAGCAAAATTACAAAAATTTTAAAAGCATCATAGCAGTATAAGCTTAGAATTTCCAATGTAGCGTTAAGTATAGGCATACATTTTTCTGTTTTATTCTGTCTTTTCTCAGTTCATCATATCAGTTTTCAGTTTTGTTTCTAAGATGTCTTATAAAACTTTTTTTGTCATTCTGTTATTAACATTTTGTGTGTTTACTTTGTTTATTGAATATCACGTTCTTGGCGCTTACGTCACATAAAAATTCGATTCGACAGCAAAATCACAAAATATTTAAAAACAGCATATCTTCAGAATTTCCGATAGAGAGTTTCGCGCTGGAGATAATTTCCTTGCTATACATCGTTGCTACTGCTCGCTTTGAAATCGTTGAGTTTGTTAATAAATATCAGTTTTCTGAAATTTGAAGTAAATAAAAAAAATCAGAAGAATTTCAGACTTTATATATGTTACTATTGCTTGCTTTCATATCATTGAGTTTGCTACTCAAAAATTCTTTAAAGGTTTACAAAACATAAAACGTACAATAACACAAATTCGAAAATTCGGACTTCCAGGTTCACATTTACGGGTGGAGAATCACACGTACATTATCAATTAAATTACCCACTATTACTCTAATTTTTTGCAGGTATACTTCGAAATACATCTACTTTAAGATGATGGTAAAAATTTTATAAGTTATAATTTATAATGTTTCTAAAATGTTTCTAAATTTCTAAAAAATATTAAAAAATGCAAATTAGAAAAAACATGAAACATGGACGAATTTTATTTGGAATGAACCTAAATTTCGAATTTTGGAAGAAAGAATCAAGTACGTTTAATAACAAAGAGATATTAATAAATATTCATCAAACTCAATTCAAATTGTGGAGTTAAAATTTTGAGAGATAATTGTTTAAAAACTACTCGTGCGATTTTTACAAAACTTGACAGTTTGACATAACAACCCCCCTTTTTTTGCGCAGTATAGTTATGCTATTATAATTTCTTAAAATAAGCTAAAAATTACTCAAAGCGTTTCTCGGATGTTGTTTTGTGCTTTTTTTACCAGACCCCATGATAAAGGAGAATGAAGGAACATTTAGAGAAACCTTGCTTATCTCTCTCTTTTTATCTTTTTGGCAATTTCGATAACAATATTGCTATTTCAGTTCTATGTTTTGTGCTGGAAGTTTCATCTTGGTGGATTT